ATGGAATCGAAAATCGAATAGTTCGAATAAGTAGACGATCATCGATCGATCAACCGAACGAGTGAGTGAGCGTGCGGGTGTAGGCAAGCGAGCGCAGCAGACAAACGACACATCGACGTAGAGCGACGAGCGAAGTTTTGTGAGTACGCAGGTCCATAGCACACCTACGCATGCAGCTTCCGGCACCTGGCACCTAGTGGGCTCAACGTGTTGGAACGCGCAGTCCCACGAAAGTATGTACGTACGAACGAACGAAAGAGCGAGCGAGCGAGCGAGTAAAAAATGCAAGAAAACCGCACGACGGCCGACGATTAGGATTTCTTGCTACTTAGCCGACCAAAAGGACATCGGACTATTTTGGCATGGTTTCGAATAACGAAGTCACAGAGAGATCATGAGCGAGATATCGCGCATCGGTATGAGCACGTACACGAATGCAAGTATCTACTTTTTGACGAGAGCACACGAAGCGTTACCACTTCGCACACCATCGTCCCAAGCGACGAAATTGCCATCGATGTAGCACTCATCAATACGCAATATCCCGCTGGATCTCTCACCGTAACACTTCCGTATGTCCGCCCAAAATCTTCGTCCGTATTGTCCACTTTTGCCACCACAGACGTCCCAGCCGTAGCCGCCGTATCTGCAGTCGCAGCCTAAACGATCTTAGACATTTACCGTCGCCGTCGCCGCCGCCATTGTCGTCGCGTCGCCATCGCCATCGCCATCGCCGCCCCCATCCAAGTCCTTCATTGATTTCTAAACATTCTTGGGGTTGGGATGGCCTACAAAATAATGAGTTGGCATGTGACGAAATAAATTTCGTATTTCGACGGTTGAAATTACCTTTTTTGTTTATCAGCATCACTAAAACGTTCAGGTACCAAATCAAAGAAGCTCTGCACTTTACGCCACAACATTGGTACAAGGGGTTTACCAGCACCAGCACCTTCACCACCACCGCCACCACCAGCTGTCGCCACTTCTTTGACCTTCACACGGCGATGCATCTCCGCCATGCGTGTTGCCACTAAACGCCAAACATTTGGCTCCAGTACACTTGTCGGCTTCAATGTTACACCAGGTACAAAATCGTAAACCAGTCCATTTTTGAATGTTGCGAAAAGTGTAGGGGCAAAACCGTACGTGTGCAACAGCTGTATGTTGCGTGTCTCGGCTTTACGATCGATCAGCAGGTCCGTTTTATTACCATAGACACGCACNTTCACCACCACCGCCACCACCAGCTGTCGCCACTTCTTTGACCTTCACACGGCGATGCATCTCCGCCATGCGTGTTGCCACTAAACGCCAAACATTTGGCTCCAGTACACTTGTCGGCTTCAATGTTACACCAGGTACAAAATCGTAAACCAGTCCATTTTTGAATGTTGCGAAAAGTGTAGGGGCAAAACCGTACGTGTGCAACAGCTGTATGTTGCGTGTCTCGGCTTTACGATCGATCAGCAGGTCCGTTTTATTACCATAGACACGCACCAGTGCTACGTTGCTATAGTTTTCATCTTTTGTATTGATATTAGTTGCCTGTGGGGGGCTAGCTGCTTCGCCAGCACTTGACGTGGTCACCTCTGAATCCAGCGTGTCCGTATCGCTGATATTGCCCGAGTCGTTGTTGTCATCGACCAGCGTCGATGTTGGTGCAGTCGGGGAAGTGGGTGTATTATTGTTGCCATTTGAGCTGCCGTTTTCAATATCATCGCCATTATTGTTTGTTGTGGATAGTGGAGGATTGTAGAAACAGCCGACAAGCTTATTTGTGATGCCATCGGTAAATTTCTAGAATTAAAAAAAAGAGAGAAGAAAACAAAAATTACTCGTCATTATAAATTATTATGCGTGATATTGCCTTAATATCGCTAACTATTCCGTGTATATCATTCAATTGAGCGCTTAATAGGCGCGTGCTATAATGTCACCCCAACAGTGTCGCCGCAGTTGGATGCAATATTAGGAAGGGAATGAGTTTCCCGTATCACAGAGCACTTAAACTCGATAGCACTGCATTGCATTCAACTTTTATTATATCCGTTGAGCTGTGCTTGCTTGTGGGTATACTATTTGCGAGCAACCAACAAGTGGAAAATAGCGAAAATAGGTTTATTACTACGACCTTGTGCTCTTGAAAAGCTTTGACTTTAGCTTCCGTGCTGCCTGATTAACACTTTCCCTATCGTAGCTGGTGTCAACCCCATAGGGATATCTTTTAATTCAATCTCTCTCAATTTAGCTTAACTGAATCACAAGCAAATCACAACAAATTAAATTTTGCCAACTAAATCACTTTATCACGCTATCAACTCACAAATAAACAAATTTGGTGGAATTTTTCAACGTTGATAATTCAATTTTGGTACTGCAAAGTGTGACTATTTCTTTCTATTGCTTAGTTCGTTGCTGCGAATTTAAAACAATTGAGCTCTTGATTATCATAACCACTTCGTCAGGGCGATAAATAAAGCGTTTTTGTAATTTATCTTAGATTTTTATGGTCATGAGTCAATTACATTAAACAGTTTATGTTAGCTTAAAATTAATATTAAGGAAGTCACAAAAAATAATACATAGATATTTGGCATAAATATTTTGAGGACTATTTGACAGAGAGTCCTCTCTAATAAATGTTGTTTTATTCAGCGACGATCAGACAGAGCGTTCTCGTTGCGTTCTTATAAACAACTTTTTTTTTTTAATTTTTAGATTTTATTGTTAAAAAAAATACTTTTTAATTTCATTTAATATTTAGAATTTTTTTCCTTTGCCAGCTTTAGATTACTTTTTTTTTAATTTTTAGATTTTATGTTTTTAAAAAAAAAAAATATTTTTTTTTTCATTTAATTTTTAGAAACTTATTTTATTTATTTTTTCTTTTATATAATTTTTTCCTTTTCTAATTTAATTAGCTGTTAATTTTTAGTTTTTATGTTTAAAAAAATATTTGTTTTTTATTTAATTTCAGTTTTAGAAAACTTATTGCTAAAAGAAATAGAAAACTTATTGCTAAAAAAATAACGCTAAGATCGCCTCGTTATCAATCTTTCGAAGACCGAGAAGAGCTTTCAACACATGTAGTTGACAGAATTGACAATTGGCTTACGAAAGACTGTGGTGAGTTGAAAGACAGTTGCCATAATTGCCCTGCTAGTCCGAGATCCCACATTTTACTCACAAAGAACGTTGTGAATACTCTCTTTAGATGTATTCAAATTAGTAACCACCAAAACATACACTTTGACCCTGTGCGACACGCCTTAATCGACTTCAATCGGGACTAAAATTGATATGTGATATCTTCGGCAATGATAGCATCGACGTAGGGGTTGAGGCTTAGGACATCTGATGTAGCCAACTGACGCGAATTGGAAATGCCAAGTAAAGCCAAGTCTATCTCAGCCTGGCCTTTCCAGCGCAGAGCAGGCCTTCCTCTGTATTTTAATTCGATGCAATTCTATATTTAATCTAAGGAAGTGCAAGTTTCAAACGCGATTTTTTAGCCGGTTGAAACTTGCACTTCACTTGGCTAAAATTGTATGGGCTATAAGACTGCATACCCAAAAATGTTCTAATGATTCAGATTAAAAAGTTGAAAATTTGTTGAATTTTCCTAAATTTTGTATAAAGTTTAAAACAGTGATTTACTGTACATGTATACTTTTGGGTAAAGTTTGAAAGATATGTTTATAGAAAAATAACAAAAAAATTTAGCTCGAAAAATATTACGAATATTATAAAAAATCCACATGTGGCTAGTATTGCAACGTTTTGTATAACTGCAAGTGCATATGACGAAGTACTTTAGAATATGTATATATGAAACTGATAATTAACACGAATAACAATAAAGGTACTCATTACATACAAACAACCTTGGTAGTACAGCAATAAACTGTTTACGATAAGGTAATATTTGCAAATAATGTTAATAAAATGGTAAGTATGTACACACTTTAATAATGAGAAACAAACTAATTATTATATACTAAACGCTATGCAAGTTTAGACTATAAACATAAAAGAAAATGAACAAATGCCTGGGAAAAATGGCAAAAAATGCAAATAACTCAGAATTGACTAAAAAAAACGGAGTAATTCAACCTAATAGCAGTTTGCATGCAGAATAGAAAATAATAACATTTGCAACAATGTATGTACATTGTATGTATAAAATGAGTTGTTATTTCCATATACATATGCACTATTTAAATTTATATGTATACTACACATTCACAGTGGGCAGTTAACCATTGACAATGCTATGGATTTTCTACATATTCACAGTACATATGTAGTTAATAAGATTTTAAACTTTGCTTGCTTTCATAACACTGGTCTACAAATTTCAACTTTTTTTCTGCGAATAAGACG